CAGTCAATGGTTTTGGGGAAGAGTTTTTTCTTGTGCAATCCCTTGTGTCATTTTCAATCTGTTCCTCTGTCTCTCTGACTCTCTCTGTCTTTATCTCTCTCTCTCTCCTCTCTCCATGGTCAGGGCTCCCTCCTCTCCACAGCACCTACAATTTTTTTCTCCCCTAAATCAGTATCTAGCTGCCACAATGTGGCTGTTTTTCTATCTCTAGATGTGCAGTTTGTTCTCTCAGTCCTCAGATTGATTTCTTGGGTGTTCACAATGATTTGGTATTTACCTACCTGTGTTTGAGGGATGAGACAAGCATAGGGTCCCCCTATTCCTCTGCCATCTTAACTTTTCCTTCCAGAATAGTGTTTTTAAATCTATAAAATAAAATATGTAAGGTTACAAAGGAAATCAATTATATTAAAATACACTTATTAAACATATTTTTTAAAAGATTTTATTTATTTATTCATGAGAGACAGAGACAGAGAGAGAGGCAGAGACACAGGCAGAGGGAGAAGCAGGCTCCCTGCAGGGAGCCCGACGTGGGATTCGATCCTGGGTCTCCAGGATCGCGCCCTGGGCCAAAGGCAGGCGCCAAACTGCTGCGCCACCCAGGAATCCCTTTATTAAACATATTTAAAACACATTTGTGACATGGTAATATATGTGCTTCTTTTCTTTTAAAAGGATTTTATTGATTCATTTGAGAGTGTAAGAGTACAAGCAAGGGGAATGGCAGGCGGGGGAGAGGGAGAAACAGGCTCCCCGCTAAGCAAGGAGCTGGATTTGGGGCTTGATCTTAGGACCCTGGATCACGACCTGAGCTGAAGACAGATGCATAACTGACTGAGCCACCCAGGCATCCCAATGTGTGCTTCTTCTTCTTTTTTTCTTCTTCTTTTTTTAAAGACTTTATTTATTCATCAGAGACACATAGAAAGAGATAGAGACAGGCAGGGGGAGAGGCAGGCTCCCCATAGGGAGCCCAATACAGGACTCGATCCCGGGACCCCAGTATCACGTCCTGAGCCGAAGGCAGACGCTCAACCACTGAGCCACCAGGATGCCCCTGTACTTCTTCATTAACACCTCAAGTAGTAGAGTCTGCCAGTGGGTCCGATAACTCCCATGACTTCAATATAGTGATTGCAGAAATCTTTTGAGCTGTTTGCAATAACAGTGATAGGATATGAAAACATTTGAAACTTCTGTTGGTGACAAGGACCTAGGTATTACTGATACCTTTGTGTTTGTGGCTTACGGTTAGAATTGTAGAAAATGTTTAAATTTGGTTAGACCTTAGTGAGGATGAAGAACAAGTCTTTTCTCTAATCAAGTTCATGGGTCCTCCGAGTTCTATTCATGAACTCCTTGGGAGGCTGTGACCCCAGGTTTGGAATCCCTGGTCCCAGTGCTTTGGTTTCCATTGTTTGTTGATTTCTTTCTTCATATAATCTTTTAAAAGTTTTTATTTATTTATTTATTTATTTATTTATTTATTTATTTATTTATTTATTTATTTACTTAGAGAGCATGAGTAGACTCTGCCCCACTCAGGGCTTGATCCCATGACCCTGAAATCATAGCCTAAGCCAAAGTCAAGAGTCAGATGTCCAACCGCCCGAGCAGTCGGGTGCCCCTCTTCATATCATTCTTAAATGAGCCAGAGTCAACTCTCACTTAATTATTGGCAAGGAACCAATGGTAGTGATCACATTCTGTCCCACTCAGGTAGGGGCAGTGAGGGCAGTCCCTGGACATGCACTGCTTTGTAGCTTGTAGACAGGGACCTCATGGCTGGAAGGGTACGCCAACACCCTCAGAGTTAAATTTATTCTGTGGATGAAGGTAAACCATCTCAGGGAAAGAAGCCCGGTCAGCATCAATCTGGGTCCAGAGAGTGGCCCTTGCTTGCCACCTGCACACGTGTTCACACACACACAGGCACACATACACAGAGTTGTGCAGTCTGCAAAATGGTTACATTGGCTTCGACTACAGTGGGAAGTAGGGCCAGGTCCCAGTCACGAGGCATGTGGCACGGAGCCCTCTCATACAATCATTGGGCAGCGGGCCGCCCCCATCCACCCTCTGGCTCCACACATCTTACCAGCTTTCTTGTCCTTGGGGGATGCAAGTTCATTGTTAGTCCTTGTCATTGTGTTTTTCTTCTCACCACTCACTTTTCCTTCATCTGCTGGGTTCCTGCCCGTGTAGTTCAGGGTCCCTTCGCCTCCCGCTCTTTCTTCTGTGCTACATCTGTCATCCCAAAGTAACCGTGATTTGGCTAACATGTGCCAAGGATACTGTCGAAATCCTCGTGTACGCAGGAGCAGGAGAGCTCCAAGATCCAGAGAGAAATTAGACCCAGTAACCACGAGCTCCTGGGCCTGACATGTGGGAGGCACGCAGCGAATGCTTGCTTAATTGAGTTCTCAGGTAAAGAACCCCAAAAGCTCCCCCAAACCTCTTCTGGGATCTCCACCAAAGTCACCAGATATCCCTTACCTTCCTCCAGTTAAGCTGGCTTTTCCTCAAGGGCCGGCGTTCAAGGTGAACGAAACGCTTTCAATCAATGTTATTGGCTTTATTTGCGACAGTATTTCAGGCTACCATTCTTCACCAGTCGTGTGGGATAATTAGTTTTGTGTTGAGGAGGGGGTGAGAGTGGGAAGCCGGGGAGGTGGCATCTGTGCGGGACCCCCAGAGCCCACAGGGCCGCCGCAGGAGCTACTCCAGCACCCAGCACGGTCCTGCTTTCTTCCTCCAGGGAAGCATCTGACAGGCCGGTGGTCTCTTGGGTCTCTGGTGCCACAGTGCACAGGCGGGCTGCACAGGTTCATTATTTTGATTCTCACCTCATAGGAGAGTTTTATATTAAGGCAGATAGGTCCATCTTTTTCTGGCGATAAAAATTACTATTAGGTAGTGAACGCTGCTCTGTACCAGGCATGAGGATAAGCTTGTCACACCCATCATCTTATTTAACTCTCTCCCTGCCGTCAGAGAGATCCTTTCAAAGTGTAAATTACATCCTGCCCCTTCCCTGCCTAAACCGTCCAAGAACTCTGGCACACTTGCAGTCAGGTCCCTACCGTGTCTGCAAGGCTGGTGGGGCATGGTCCCTGGCTCCTGCTCCAACTGTATCCCCTTCATTCCCCTGCTCACCACCCTCCTTGCTGGTCCTGGAACTGGCCAAGGAGGCCCTGCCACAGGGCCTTTGCACTGGTTCTTCCTGCCCAGGCCCTGTCTGGATCACTCCTTCACTTTATTTGGTCTTCTCTAGTGTCCTCAGAGAGACACTCACCCCATCCAAAATACCACCTGTTGTTAACTTCTGCTGTCTTCTGCTCCTGATGGAACTCAGCACACCTAGCCATTTTATTATAAACCTATTTGTTTGGGTGTCTATTACCTATCTCCTTACCAGACGAAAAACCACACAAGAGCAGAAACCCTGTTTTGTTCACTGCTTTATTCCCAGCACCAAGAGCAGTGCCTTCGATGGAGTAGTCACAAATAAATATATAGTCAATGAAAAAATAAATAGATGAATATTCACAAAACTCCATGGTGTAAGTGGTACTATCACTCCCATGTTGTAGGTGAGAAAGCTGAGGTTTAGAGAGACTGACAATATTCTTAGGGTCGTAAAACTAATGAACCACTTGGGATCAGAAGTCAAGATATCAACCTCTGGGGTTAGCTCTCTCTGGACTCACAATCGCCTACCAGTGTTTCTATGTGGAAACTCTATTTCCCTGAGACACTCCAAGAAAAAAGTTTTTGATGGATAATTCAGTTTGGGAAACACTAGGAATTGCATTTCCAGCTTGGTAGCCAAGGAAAGGCTCTGAAAAGTCCTGTAGTAAAAAACCTGATTGAACTTGCATAACGAGTTTCCCAAAGTGTTGACTATAGACATCTTTTATGTATTCACTGGTGTGTGTCACATCTATTATCATACTGCGAAGCATACATTACAAATAATAGCTTTCATCCTTGTGGAGAGAAGCTGACTGTCTGGTACAGGATTCTGGGAGCTCTGTCTGGATTGGCCGGCATGGGAATTCTGGGACTGGGGGCTTCCTCTCCCAGCAGGGGGGGCCATGCCTGAAGTCAACTTCCTACCAGACTGGTACCTGAACCCACTCTCATGCTGACCCCAAACCCAGCGGGGAGGCTCCTGGCTCCCTTTGGCTGCACCCTGGCCTGAGCGTGCTCTGCAGAGCCCTGTGCACCGGTTCACCTTTTGCCCTTTGGTTCCTGTACCAAGCGGCACTTGGTATTTCCCCTGAGCCCCTTGTAGAGCAATTCCTCATGTGTGCGTCTCAGAGACATAAACCTCGTCAGCCTGGCCTTATTTTCTCACTGTCTCATACCCCCCTATTGGAATTTTAACCTTTTAGAGGAGCTGCGACACTGCCTCACCCATCTGTGCCCTGTCGGCCACCAACTCGGTGCTGAACAAATGGTAAATTCTCAGATAATTCTTGTTGGTTTGACTGCCAGGGGACTGATGATCCTGTATGCTGCATGGTTTGGAGCAGAAAAAGATAAATGGTGATGTTGTAAATCCCTTAATTCATTGCCAGAGCCGCCCCCACCGCCCGCCCCAAACAGAAGAGAAGGATACCCCCCGCCCCCCCCAGAGGCACAGAAGACCATGGAATGAAATGTATATAACGGACCGCATCTCTGCGCTCCCTGGACACTTAGAGCCACTGTCAACGCCCCCGATGTGTTTGTTCATTTTTATTAGTTTTGATGGTGATTTGATGTCATCAGGGATTCAGGTCTCATGTTCATCCCTGAGATCATCTGAATAGCACTGGTGACGGGAACGGAAGAGCAGAGACAGGCACCCACAGGCAGCCTGGATCCGACTGCATAAACCTGGGAGGTGGGAGGGGGCCGGACAGCCTGGCTTGCCCAGGGCGCACGGGGCTGAGCAGGAGCAAGCGAGAAGCAGTGGCGCCGCCAGCATTGCGCCTTTGCCCCAAGTGACCATGAGAGGTGCCATGCGAGTTTCAATCCTGTTCCTCCTGGTGACTGTGTCGGACTGTGCCGTGATCACGGGGGTAAGGCGTCTACCTTCCTCTATGCCCTGGGTTTTGGGAGGATGTGGGGGTCTGCATGGGATGGGAGGCTGCAACCACGCGGGGGCAAACCGGAAAAAGCCTGGGGAGTCCGTGGTCAGCCAGCATTGAGAGGGCCGTTCCACACGACTTGCAGATTAGTTCGACCTCACCACACTAGACGGGATCTAGTGTAAATCAAATCTTATTTCCAATTGCATTAGGAGAACATCAAACATTTTGAAGTTTAGACCTTTGGTAACACGAAGATTGCCCATTGTGTAATAAGGAATTCCTTTATAAAGTTGATTAGCACCTGGTGATTTATCTTTTGTGTAAATTTTGGTTTTCATTTATACAATCTGGTCCACATGTCAAGTGTAATTTACACAGCATGTTGACTTAATTAAAGGCAGTGATCTTAGTAGCTTTAATTGGGGACGTTTAACCTCTGCTTTTTCTACTCTTAAGAGATTGTCTTGAAATTCTTTCCTTCCTTTATTATTTACGTATTTTAATTGTGCCCCGTTCTGACAAGAGTATTTGGCTGGGTGTACCCAAAAGCAAGCATTGGGTCACGAGTAGAAATCTCGTCTCGGGGCGGGGGTGGGGTGGGGGGGTGGTTTCCCCTGCAGGGGCGCTCTGCTGCCGGTCAGATGCGCAACATTCGGGCTGCGGGCGCCCTGGGACCACCCCCAAATGTGATATGGTTGTGGGACCATTCTTACTAAAACAGAGAGTAATACCTGAGAGCTTTCCAGATAAAAGCTGCCAGAGAGAAAGAGAGGGAGAGGGAGAGAGAAATTTATTCTTTTTCCAGCATCCTTCAACTTTTTACATAGAGAATGGAAATGTAGAAAAATGCCGAACGATTCCTGGAATCCCATTAGTTTTCATGTTCACAGAAAGGAAAACTTCTTTCATCTCCTTTTTAAAGGAAAAAGACTGAGTCTCAAAGACGAACAAATTATTAAAGGCAAGTCAATGCTTTTGAGACCCAGAGCATGAATAACATTGTCAGGGCAAAATTATACCTGATGAATCAGCCTCTGGATCCTCCTAGGGTGTATGTAGGCTGATGATCGGTGAGGCAAACAAAGGCGAGAAGCCACCAAGAGGGATGGGAGCTGTGGGCTGACCTTGATGCCAGCTCCAACATCTGGCCAAGGGGTGGTGGTAAAATCTTTCTAGTAAACCCTTCAAGAGGACACTTTGAAATGCACAAGTGAGAGAGAGAACTAGTGTAGGAGGAAATGCATGACAGACATGGCAAGGAGAGGGGAGACCCAGTGCTGGGGGGCAGGACCTCCCTCCACTCTTCATGCCCGGCTGCCGCCCCGAGGCCGACTCCCAGGAAGAGGCTGGGTGGCATGGGCACGCACCCCTGCTCCCCGGACCGTGACCATCCTAGATTCAGGGGACAATGACGCCCCACTTTGGTCAGGTAGGTCTGCTTGGCCCTAGCCCTGGGCTTGCAGGGGCTGCGTGGTATGGGAGATGTGCTCTCGCTGGGCTGGAGGCTGCATGGCGGGGGAATGTCACCCGCGCGTCCCTGAGGGGCAAGCAGGCCCGACGCCCCCACCCGCCCTCCCCGGGGCTGAGCAAGTTGGCAGCTTCCAGTTCCTGCCAGGGCCCACCTAGGGAGCCAGAGGGTGTTCTGGGGCCTTCTGTTGGACACAAAGACGGAAACCAAACCCCGCTGCGAATCTCAGCTCAGGAAAGCCACCACGCTTCTCTGGAGGTGCAAAGGTTGTGCTTCTCCGGCGTGGCCCCACCTGAGCCTGGAGCTGTTCAGAGGCCTATTTCCCCCAGTTCAGGCTTTTGTTTAAAGCAGGCTTGTGTGGACTTCTCTACAAGTGGCAACTTCCAGAAACCAGGCACGGCTGCTCCGCTCCTGTTCTGGAGCCCAACCCAGAGGGGCCCATCCCTATCTGGGGATGAAGGAGGCCAGCAGAGAAGCATGGGGGGGGACCCCTGCCCTCTGGGGTGCTAGTGCCTCAGGTGAGGCTGGGCTTCTGGTGAGGGCCCAGGCGGGGCCGGCATGGGGAGCAGAGGCACCAACCCGGGTGTGGGATCAAGGTTGGAGAGTTTGGTCAAAGGACTGACCACCCAGGGGCCTGGACCATCATCGCTCTTCGCACCTCTAGGAATTCAATTCAATGTTGCCAGCGTCCTCTGAGCATTTACCTCTAGTCTGGTCAGAAGAGGAGTGTTGCCTCCCTACTGGGTGGCTGCAGGGGGGCTTGAAGGGGTCCTCAGATGCAGATCTGATCCCCCACTGAGCCCTGAGTGGAGCAGGAGCAAGAATGTGCTGCTTGGGTGTGAGGCTGAGGTGAGGGGAGCTGCCCTCAGCCCCTCCCTGCCACGAGGGTTTTAGATGTACCTCTCCCTTCTGGTGTCCCTTGGGTGGCACTAACGGCACCCCTTTGTCTCCCCTCGCAGGCCTGTGAGGGGGATGTCCAGTGCGGGGCAGGCACCTGCTGTGCTGTCAGCCTGTGGCTGCGTGGGCTTCGGATATGCACCCCACTGGGGCGGGAAGGAGAGGAGTGTCACCCCGGCAGCCACAAGGTACCGCACGGACCTGCTCCGGGCACGGAGCCAGAGACAGCTGGGGCCCGACCCCGATTTTCTGACTCTGACTCTAATACCATCTCAGGACTGCTGGGCATCCTTGCTTTTTGGAGGAGCCCAGGGTGGAGTTGGGGGTACTAATGACACAGCCTTTTAGACCCAGGGGTTACGCCAGCTGCTCATTTGCAGATGCTCTTGGGCAATTGGGGCGACTGCTGTGGGCCTCAGTTGCCTCAAGTATACGAGGGACATGAGACAGAGCACCCCTGAAGTCTCTTTCAGATCTGACGAATTCAGATTCTCAAGGGGTCCTGAGTGCCCTCTGTCCCCAGAAACCTTCCCTCCAGAGCATGAAGTAAGACTCATGGAATGGTCTCCCATCCAAGGTCTGGTTAGGGTGAGGCAAGCCCCACTCCCAGGGCACAAGCTCTAAGGAGGCCCTCCTCCTCTTTGGGGCCTACGCACCTAGCTTCCCAGGGGGCACCGAAGGGCTCCGAGACCTTTGCTTCTGAATGGCCAGGTACAGGAGCAACTGCAGCCCTGCCGGGACTGGGCGTGCCAGCCACCTCCCCTGGGCTCCCCGTGGATCAGGGGTCCCTTATGTCCTTGGAGGAGCATGCCTGCACCCAGGAGCCCCGGGTTCTTCTGGGCTCGAGGCATCCTCCTGTGGTCACCTTCCCAGTCCTGACTGCTTGCGGGGAGGGGACAACGCGGGGCAGTCCCTGCTGCCTCGGGCTGTGTGAGGTGGTTCGGCTGTAGATCTATATTCCCGAAGGGCACACCAGTGGCAATAACAGCTGATGCTGATGCTTCCCACGGGCCACCTTCCAGGCTAAGTCCTTTTGCAATTAGTAGTTTAGACCTCTTTCCAACCATATGTGGTAGGTGCCATTATTGACCCATTTTGCGGATAATAAACTTGAGATACAGACACTAAAGACCTTGCCAGGGCAGCCCTGGGGGGCTCAGCGGTTTAGCGCCACCTTCAGCCCAGGGCGGGATCCTGGAGTCCCGGGATCGAGTCCCGCATCAGGCTCCGTGTGGAGCCTGCTTCTCCCTCTGCCTGTGTCTCTGCCCCTCTCTCTGCATGTGTCTCTCATGAGTAGATAAATAAAATCTTAAAAAAAAAAAAAAAAAGAACTTGCCAGTTGTCACACAGCTGGCAACTGTCAGACCCCGGATTTGAACCCGGGGGTCTGACACTACCTGTGATCATGGCCATCCCTGTCACCCTCCCTGAGGAGACCGCAATGGTCTAGTCTCAGGGTGAGAGTCACAGAGCAGAGACGGCAGCGACATCTGCAGCACCCATCAGCGCTGAGCACATCGTAGCAGAGCTGAGGGGGATCCAGTCAACAAGTGTACGTGTGTACATGCGTTGGGTCGGCGAGGCGCTCTGCCTGGCTGGGCAGCGTGGGGGCTTGAGGAGTTTTAAGGTTGGTGTGGATAGCACAGCGCTGTGGCTGATTACACCCTCGAGAGACAGATTGCCAGGGTTCCAATCCCAGCTCTAGAACAAATGTGAGCTTGGTATGTCGCTCAGCCATTCTGTGCCTCAGTTTCCCCCTCTATGATAACTGTTACTGTCGTGCTGGTTGGAGGGGCTGGGCTGGCCAGAGGCTCCTGCCTGGAAGCCCACTTGCCTTACGATGAAGGTGTCACCCTCTTCTCGTCTTTCCCCAGGTCCCCTTCTTCAGAAAGCGCCAGCACCACACCTGCCCCTGCCTGCCCAACCTGCTGTGCACCAGGTTCCTGGACGGCAGGTACCGCTGCTCCGCAGACTTGAAGAACATCAACATTTAGGAGCCTGTCTGCAGTCGGGACACTCTGGGCCTCTGCGGAAGCCCAGCCTGGGGTGGCCTCTTAGGGATTTTCATCTCTGCCACATGGCCCGGCTCCCTTTCCTCCACTGCCCTGACCCCGCTCCCCAAACTGCCTTGCTTCCTAGCACGCGCACACATGCACGGGCGCGCATGCACACACACACACACACACACACGTGCATGCAGACCCAAAGCACACGGTCGGCCAGGCTGGCCCGGGGGTCCCAGCTTCGGGCTGTGGTCCCAGAGGTGCCAGGCCGGTTGTCTCCCGGGTCTGGCTGCCTGAGGAGCTGGGTAACGGGAAGGGTAGGCCTTTCCCTTAGCCCCTGCCTCACCCCCCTGTCGGCCCCCCTCGGGGACTGGGTCCGCTGTCCCTGCCCCTTCCTGCATGCGCTCTGCCTGAGGCCACGCTCCCCAGCACAGCGCCTTGGCTGCATGGCTTCGAGGGACAGGTCTTGGGTGAGCCTCAGTGAGACCTGTGAGGGCCGACCTGGGAGTTCTTCCTCTTCCTTTGACTGACTAACTCCTCAGTTTCAGGCCTTGGGCCCAACCAAGGTCAGCCCTTCCCGGGGGGCGGGGGTGCAGTAGACAGTAGCCTCATGGCAGGTGCGGGGAGCCCGCCCACTAGGCCGTTGGCATCACCTCCAAGGCCCCTCTGGGCCACACTTTCCCGGTTAACCAGTGAGGCCAGGTCCCACTGCTTCCCTCTCCCATGCAAGTGGGGGCAGCGTAATCTAATCAGCCATTGACATTTTAGGAGGCAGTGAGGGAGTGACCTCAAACAGCTCCTTTCGGAGGATTGTCCCCAGGAGCATGTCTGTGACCTTTAGGATGAGGGGCTTCTGCTCAGCTGGGAAAGGGCGGGAGGTGGGAGGGGAGGGCAGGCAGGGACATTGATTTTGGACTCGGGGAGGCCGCTACCACCCAGGGACCAGGCTGCACAGGCCCCACGCCAGAGGAGGCAACTTCTCTAGACAGCAAGGGCTTCCTGAAGTGCCAAGCCATCTGTCTGGGAGCTGTCACCGGCCTCCACTGTCATCTATAGTAACAGCCCCACTCAGCTCCCCCAGTTGGACCCTGCCCTAGACTCGCCCAGGACAGTGCGGTGACGCCAGAAACTGCACATGCTGACCTGCCAGCTGCAGAATAAAAGCATGACTGAGGGGCAAGTGGCCGTGGTGTTCCTGCTATGCCAGTGTGGGGACTCAGGGGCCGGGCCGGGGCGGGCAGCACGGGGCCTTTTGGGGTGGGGGTGGGGGGAGCGATGCCGTTGGTGCAATTTTTTTTTAGAAAGTGGATTCAGGCTCCCTGAATGAAGGGTGACAGGCTCTGGGCCAGGAGGGTGCTGCTCAGGTGTGCCGCTCAGACGCGCTGGTGGTTTGGAGACAGGAAGGGAGCCGTGAGCGGGCGGCTGAGTGGAGACCCCACCGGTGAGATCTAGATGGGTTGCAACTCCCATTTCTGCAATTTAACCCCTTTTGCTTAGTGTCCAGGACTTGATGCCACTAGATCACCACGTGTGGGGTGAGGAAGTCTGAATCAGGATGGCCCTGAGCCTGTGTCTGAACCCAGGGGCTGGGAGCACCCCCCAAGTGCCAGCTACTGTCCCCACGGCCCCTTCTCACCTCAATTCCTAGCCTTAGAAAAATGCAAAAGATAAGATGAAAGTACATTGTATCCTATGTTTCTCAGAAGCGTCCTAACACATTGTGGTTAATAGGGCCAGGGGCTCCTGCCCTCCCTCACCTGCCTCCATCTGCCAGAGCCTTGCTTAGGGTGCTGTGGGACCCACTCAGGCCCCGCCTGGGCCTCACTTGGGGCTCCTTCTCTTTGCGGCTCCTTTGACCGACATCATTGCCTGCTCTGCTGACTCTCGCCCTTCTTGCAGCTGGTGAACCTCCTGCCCACCCTGCAAGCTCAGGTACTGGACCTAGAGCTACCGTGCATGTCCAGGGTTCCAGGCTGCACACCCTTGTCCTTTGGGTGTCCAGGTGCCGGGCCTTCCCTCATCATGCTGTGCCCTCCTGGGTGAGACAGAGGCACAGATGGGGTGATGACTGTAGGCACAAGGGTGCTCAGGACTTGGTGCGCACTGACTGGCCACCTGCAGCCCCTCATCTCCGTTCCCATCTGGGAGGGGGCCAGTCTGCAGACCCCATTTAAATTAGCTGGAACAATTCTCATTTTTTTTTTACACCAGAACGCCAAGGAATGTATAATTGACTTCTGCTCCAGTTCCTTTTTTTCTGAAGACTAAAGAGCAGAGAGGGGAGGTTGGGTGGGGCGAGGTAGGGGTGGGGGTAAGAAAAGTGTATTTGTGAGAATTCTTTATATTCTTCATGAATATAATTATAAGAAGAATCTACTAATAAGTATAATATATCCAAAATAAGAGCGTATCCCCAAAGAATTAAATTAAATCAGGCTTAGGGGAATGGACAGCCTTCAGGGACCCCGGTTCAGGGCCCCCCCTTAGCCCGAGGCTTCCTCCCCGACGGGCGGAGTCTGGTGCCCTCTAGTGACCGCCCTGGGGATGGCCCGGAGAGTCAGATGCGCTCTTCTCAAAGCAGCTGGAGACCATCCCCGGATGTCCCCAGGTGGTTCACAGGGACACGCTTCCACCGGTGGAAAGCAATCTAAGGAGCACAGGAGAATCCGAGGAATGCTGCCTCTCTGGATCACGTCGCACCTAGAAGATCCTTTCCTAGAAGCTGCTGTGGTCCTCTGGCAAGACATCTGCCAGCGTCCAGGAGTGGGAGTGGGCGGTGGGCCCCACGAGGAGGATGGGAGCCCCTTCCCCTCCCCGTGCCCAGCGCGCAGCACAGGCGCCGTCTTCTGGGCCAGTGCCCCCATCAGCCCAGGATCCAAGCAGGGTGCTCGAGAGCAGTCTAGATTTCCTCTCTCTTCGACTGCCCTTTCTCACTGCAGCCACAGCCAAGTCCAAGCAATCATCCTGCCCAGCATGGCCTGTGGCAACTGCTTCCAACCGATTCGCTCTGCCTCCAGTTCTTCCCTCAAAATCCACCTTGGCGTGTCTGCCAGCATCTTTGTAGGCAGCACCCTTACCCGGTTTGGGCTCCCCGATGGCCCTTCTCAGCTCCAAAGGAGAAAGCCTAGCCCTTGGCAGGGCGCAAAAGCCCCTGCGCACTCTTCCTCTGCCTCTGCCCTGCTCCCCACCAGGATTCTCGGCCTTGGGACTACCTACAGGCTGTGGAAGATGTCACGTGTGTCTTCGCCTGGGCTGTCCCTCTGTGGGGCGGCCACTCAAATGTGCCCCCTGCCCCATCCACATCCATCAACACGAAAACGCTGGCGACACACCTCAGGCACATGCTCTTCGGGAGCATCCATGCCTGCGCCGGTGTCACCCTGGAGAGAAGGAAGGGCGGTGTCGGAGTCCTGCTTGTGTCCCGGGGCTGAAGAGTGGGGGCCAGGGCAGGAGCAGCTGCACAACCAGAGGACAGAAACCTTACGGGGGGCAGGTCCACCCCCAGCCTATCCTCTCGGTGGCCTCACTTCCCAGGACCTGGGCTCTCCTCCTGCCCAGCAGGCAGCAGACTGTATCCTGGGGGCATGACACCCAGGGACCGAGAGCACCCAGGCCTGTGGGGGAGGAGGGGGTTGGAGAGGAGGACAGGAGGGGGGCTGGGCCCAGCCCACTGGCAGCTGCCTGCACCACCCTGGGGGCCACAGAGCCCTTCAGTTCCTGAGGCCAGAGGCTGTCCTCTGACGGGGCTGGCTTCAGGGTTCTTCTCAATACAGACAAAGCCCAGGGTCTGGTGAACCCAGCCCAAGTACCAGGTGTACTGATGCTTGACAAAGGATGTTGGTGGGTGGCCTGCCCCCCGCGCAGCCTTTCTCCAGACCACAAGCTACCCAAGGCGGTGCCCTCCTGCTGTCTGCCCTGCGGTCGGTCTCTGATGGCAGAAGGGAGCCGGGTGCAGGAGGCTGGGGTGTTCCGGGCTGGCCAGCCTCGCCCACCCCGCTCCCCACAATGTTTGGGGTGGAGATCCTGGACCTGGGCGGGGAGGGGGAGGGGCTGGCTTTCAGGACCCAAGCCTGGGTGCGTGGGGTGGATGGGGAAGACAGTGGGACACCCTGGCAGATCTGAAGGGAGGACCCACAGAGGACTGAGAAGTTTCTGGTCACCTGAAGTGGAATCCCAGTTAATTCATTTATTAATTAATTAGTTTATTTCTAGCTTATTAGCTAAGGGGTCCCTTTACTGCACAGTAAACAGAAGACTGTGAGTCTGGACAACAGAGACCATGGTTTTCTCCTGTGTCTGGTGCCCGGCCAAGAGCTGTGCTCAGTAGACATTTACTGAATGAATGAAAGAGCAAATGAATGAATGAATGACTGAAACAGCAGGAGCACGTCCTAGGAGGAGACAGGCTGGCGACAGAGTCCCAGGGGCCTCTGGGATGTGGGGTCTGTAGCTGCTGCTCCCACAACCCAGGGCTCAACTCCCGGTGCCCTGGAAGTTTCTCTGTCAACAGAGGGGGGTCTTCTGAGGTCCTGGGCATGGGGAGAGCCATACACGAGGCCACCGGAGCCCTGAGAGACCAGGGTGTGCCCCGGAGGGCAGATCAGGAGCGGGAAGGGCAGGATTGCCCTCTGTGGGCCAGAGCATCTTTAATTATTCAAATCACGTTTACTTTTGTTGGATGGACTTTGGCGTAGCAGGAACAAAGACCAAAGAGGACCGTCTCCTGTGAGAGACTGGTAGTTGAAGGTAGGGCAGAGGAAGGGGGCCGGCTGGCCCGGGGAGGAGGTCGCCCAGTGGGCCTGGCCCTGGGGGGCAGGGGGCCTCGGGGAGCCAGCTGTGCCAGCCCGGCAGCCCTCCTCATGGAGACTCGGGGTGCAGCCAGGGCCCCGCATCTGCCTGGAGCTGTCCTCAGGCCTCCAAATGCTAACGGATTCAGGGGAGGACTCGGAGCTCTAAGCCCTGGACTTGAGCTGGTGTATGGGGAGCGCATG